AGTAAAAATTTTTAAATAAATGCTTCTATCAAAATTATCTTGAACTTCAATTTCACTAGACATTTTTATTTAATGATATAAAATACAAATTAATGTTCTTTTATTAAAAATGATTATTAATAATAAATATAAATAAATATTTTATGATTAAATATATTTTTTTAAAAAATTAACCCATTTAATTCTCAGTAAATCATCATTTAAATTTTCATTATCAAAAGAATAATGATTAGGATAAATATCCTTAATTGATTCGAAATAACTATTATAAATTAATTTTAAATAAATTTCCTTATCTTTTTCTAATTTACGACCACGTTTCACAACTCTTTCAATAGAATCCTTTTCCGATACATTAATATAAAATACAATCTTCTCATATTTAATTGAAATCTCTTGTAATTCATCATTTAAATATGGAAAAAAAATGTTTTTATAAAAATATTCTGTAATACCAACATTAGTAAAAAAAATAGTATCTAAATGTGTCCGATCAAAAATCACATAATCATATTTCCAAAATTCTATACTATCAATATATTTTTTATATCCTTTAATCACAGCATCTTGATACCAAAATACAATACTTTGATCATTTGGATTTTTCTTTAAAACATCATAATAGATTTGTAATTCTCTTTCAAGTATCAAAGACATTTCTTTTCCGAAAAAAACTTTTTCCCCTTGACTTTTTAAATATTCAATCGAATAATTTAGTAATTTTGTTTTCCCAGCTCCGATAACACCAGTAAAATAATAACTTTAGGTTTTTTTAAAGTAAAATATTTGATAATTATATTTATTAATATAAAAAAATAATAAATAAAATTCACAATTGATAATAAAATAATAATGAATAAAATAACTATTAAATAATTATTATCCATATTTAATTAACTATATAAAATAAAAAAAATATTGGTATTTTTATATCTAAAAATATTAATAATAATTTATAATTTCATCAAAAAAGGATTAATAAATTTCATCATATCATCAATCGCATTTTCTATATCACTATCATTATTAATAATTATAGCATCATTACAAATATTATCTTTAAATTTTTCCCTATACAAACTCATGATCTTTTTAATTTCATCAATCGAAAATTTTCGATCACTTTCTTTTCTATTATAATAATTTCGCTCTAAATTTTCATCAGAACATAAAATAAGAAATCTTAATGCAGAAACATTAAAATCGACATGCTCTTTTTTAATAATATCTAAATCAAATCCGTAAAACTCTTTATAAATATCACCATCACAAATATCTCGATCTTCTATCACAAAATCCTTATTAGAATTCATATTATCAAATATACGTTTATAATAATATGTTAATAATGCATATTCAAATTTTTCCTCATTTTCTCTCTTGTAATCCAATAAATATTCACGACCCTTTAAAATAGATTCTGAAACAAGATCTACCATAAATCCCTTTTCCTCTATCCTTTTTTTTAATTCATTCATAAGAGTCGTTTTTCCAACACTAGAAGCTCCGGATAGAATTATACGTTTCGGTCTAATATGTTCTAAAATCTCTCTTTTGAACATATTCATTGTTGGCGTTAAATTATATTTGTAAAACTCATTAGTCCAAATCCATCCTTCATGTTTAGTCGGTTCTTTATTTTCGGCTTTAACCAAATCATCAACTAATGATTTATAAATATAAACTTGATAATTTGTAGTCTTATTAGATAATATCAATTCAACTTTATTCATTACTGATATTCCAGTTTCTTCTCGTAATTCTCGTTTCGCAGCATTAATAAATGATTCACCATCCTCAACTTTACCACCAGGTGAACAATATTCACCATAATGTAAATTAGCTAATCGTCTTGAAATTAATATTTCACCATTCTTTTTATAAAGAATGATAATTACGTACGATACATATTTTTGTTTCTTTTCAAATAATCCATAAAATTTAACAATAAACAAAATTAATAGAATAATCAATAATTCTGATGGTAATATCAAAATTATTTGGATAATCAATAAAAAAAATATACAAAGTAATAATTTCAACATCTTTTTTTTTTTTATAATTATTTAATATTTTTTCCTTTCTATTTATAAATTTTATAATTATTAATTACAAATTCTTATAAAACAACCTAAATCCAAATTATCATTAAAATAAAATGAATAATTTACCTATCGAAATAATATTAAATATCATTAAATATGATAATATTCGTAATCATAAAAATAAACTTAATTACTTATTAATAAATAAATATTTTTTTAAAATACTAGTTAAACCAATTTGGAATAATCTAATATTAGAAATAAATGATAAAGATATATTTGCAACTATCATTAATTCAATCTTTGATTATCAAAAAATATCTTATTTCAATAACATGTTCCGTAAAAAACCTTTTATTAACTACTTAAAATACATTACCAATATTAATTACGAAAAAATTAAAATATTGACAACAAAATATATAAAACGCGATAAATTTAATATCATCAAAAACCTATCTTTAGAAATAACTAAAAAATTAATAATTGAATCAGAAAAAATCGAAACAATCAAAATAAATCTTTCTGATAATAAAAAATTACTAAACATAATCAAAAAAAAAATTAATGTAAATTAATAATTAAAATTTCCTAATTTAGTAAAGATTATCATTTATATTATCTATAAAACAAGTTTATTCTCGATTTTTTTAAAAAAAAATCCAAAAAAATTAGAAAAAAAATGGAAAAAGAAGCAGAACAAATCAAAACATATCATAATTTTCAAAATGCGACTGTTCAGTATTCTAGAAAAGCTCTAGAATTTCAATTTTCTTTTAATTATGAAAATAATTACAAACAACAACCTGAACAAATAAATGATAATATTTTAATTATTGGGTTAGATACAAAAATTAAAAATGAAACATTAACTGAAAATAAAGTTAATGAAACAAATTTTGATAAATTTAGCAAAAAAATTTCTAACCCTACTAAATACGGAGGAGGAAATATTAAATTTATCAGTGAAAAATTAATAGACCTTTTCCTTACTGAATTTTATAATAAGGAAAATTTCAAATCATTGTTCAACAATTCATCTTGTATTAGATTTGTTATATCACATACGATCAAAAATATTAGTCTTGCTAATTTTACTCTTTTACCAAAAAATATTACTTATAAAGATCATCTCTTTACAAAATTAATATTACCAAAAACAAAAGTACCAAAAAAAACTATTCAAGAAAAAAAATTGGGTGATATAATAACTCTAATGAATGATTTAAAAATCGAAACAAATACTCAAAAAGAATTTGAAAATATTAAAACTACTACTGATTTTAGAATTCCTTTTGAGATGATGGATACTATCATAAAAAATTCAAAAATCGATGAAAAAACTCGTAATCTCATAAATCAAAACATGGAAATTATCATTAAAAATATACAATCATCCCTAGGAATTGCTTCTAATGAAAATAATAATAATATTAAAAAAAAACAAAAAGAATCATTTGGATATTATCAAAATCCAAATACATCTCAAATTAACACAAATCAATCTTATGGATCATTATCAGATAATAAAACATTTGCTTCAAATATCAAAAAAGAATTTATTACATATAATTCAAACGAAATTGATTTGAACATAAATGAATTTGATTCAAAGAATAGTATGGATATAGAGGAAAACATTTCAAATAATATTAATCCTGATATTAAAGTAGAAGAACTTTAATTTTTTTATCATTAAATTTATTTAATATATTATTTATTATTAGTATTATTATTTTATATTATTATATCAATAAAATTATTATTTTTACATCTTAAATTTTTTAACAAATAAATCCTGATCTGAATAATTAAATCCTATACTATTTAAATAATGATTTATGGAAATATATTTACATTTAAACTCTTTTAATAAATCATACATGTATTTTGTTGTTGAATAAATAAATTCTTCTGATAAACCACATGATATCATATCGTTGATCATTTCTAATCTGTTTTCACCAAAATCTAAGTTAATAAAAGATTTCGAATATTCTAAAATAATGATTTCATCAGAAACTTTGCATAATAACATGATAAGCATAGAAATCAGACCAGTCCTGTCCTTTCCATGTTTACAATTAATAATCACAACATCCTTAAAATTTAATAATAATTTGAATACATGTAATATCTCAAATTTACAAGCTTCTAAAAAATCCATATACATAGCGACAATTCCTCGTTTCACTAACGTATGTGTCAAATAATATCTCTTATTTTTTGTAAAATAATATAACATCTTATCACTCAAATTTAAATTTTTGTAATATACCGAAAATAATTTTTTTGTTATCATATTAACTCCTACAAAAAAACCGATCATTTGTAATAAAAATTACATCACGGTTATAAGACGAACAAAATTAGTAAACTATTCTCATCCGAATGGGGTAGGCCCCAGTGTCAGATCTCTCTGACTCAAGTGTTTCAAAATCATAAACAAAACTCACCATGTCCGAATTATCGATATTATCATCAAATATATCAGATTATAGGAATTAGTAATCCTGATTTATCATCGATGAATATTAACAATATTTTTCATCTCACCTGAAATAGTAAACATAGACTTTCTGACAATTGAAAATCTATCAAAACAATTTCCTCGTAAATCAATTATTGTGATATCATTACCATCAAATCCTGTTTTTTTGATCAAAAATTGATACTGTATTTCATCAATCAAATCAAATTCATCAGATCGATACAAATTTTTCGTACCAGCAATTTCTCTGAAATTCTTAAACATTTTTATCAAATCACTCAAAAATAAATATATCTTTAAATATTTACAAAATTATTAATATATCAAATTTCAAAATTTCTTTTTAATACTTATCAAAAATAATTTTTTTATTTAATTACATAATTAATAATTCGAAGTATAATCTTATCATAATAAACAACATATAATAATAAACCTAATAACACAAATCTTAAAATTTATTTTTAAAAATAAGAATAAAAAGGATAATCACCATACTCTATATCAATATATTTTCCATCTCTATGATAATATATTTCAAATTTAATATCATGATATGATATATCAATAAAATTATTACCAAACACTGTATCAACACTAATATTTCGATATGAAATTTTTAAATTATATTTTATTTTCATAATTTCTAACTCAGATTTTCTTATCTTTATACGAAAATATTTTATCTTGTGAATATTAACTAATAAAATATTAAAATCAAAATCATTAATCCAAGGATTATCATAATGATTAATTATGTAATTAATCTTCTTGCTATTTTTCAATATTAAATTCAAAAAATAATAACTACATGTTTTATCATACACATAATTAATTATTTTACCAGGATAAATTCTAGTTACGAAAGATGAATATAAAAATGTATTATTTTTTTTAAAATTTAAATAAGAAAAATTATGACTTTTTTCCTTAATACGATACTTTTCATTTTCAGGTAATTCATTATATAAAATACGTAAAATTTTTGAATAATTATAATTATTCAAATATTCATCCCATAAAAATGGAATTGAATGAATACATATTTTTCTCGAAACTAATATCAAAGAAAACAAATCATTTTTTAAACATATATAAAAAATGATATTTAATATCTCTGTTGATAATTTATTCAACATTCTATAATATAAAATAAATTCAAATTTTATTTCAATATTTTTTTAATTTTTTTTAAAAATTATTTAAAATTTTTGTAATCTTATGTATTTATATATTTTAAAATCGTTAAAATTTATAATAAAAATTAGAATATGTTATATTATTAATATTTTTTAATCTATCTATAAATAAATTATTTCTTATTCTCAATATTTTAATCTTGTGATTTTCTAAATACATATTTATAAAGTAAATAATCCAAATATCATATATTTCAATCGGTAAATGAATATAAACATTTTCAATGATATCAGACAATTTAAATGATAAATTGATTATATCAACCCTAAGCTTAATTTGAAAATTTTCTGTTGAATGAGTATCAATCTCTTTTACATATTTAAAATATTCAAATATACTTGATTCATTTTTTATATTAATTAGAATATTTTTTATCATTACTTCTCTTTCCTTTATATTTACTTCATTTTTGTATTTCTTAAATGGATCTTGCCATAATATTGGAATCGCAATATTAGCCCAAATCCATGATGTCATAACGCATTTAAATAAAGATTCATTAATATCATAAAGATGATTAAATATCTCCATCAATATCTCATTAGGTAATTTATCCATTATTAAAAATATAATAACTTAAGATAAATCTTTATTTATATCAATAAAATAAATCCCTTTATTTATATCAAAAATAAAAAAAAAATATAATTATTTCGGAAAATAAATAATGGTATAATCATTATTAATTTCATTATAAATTTCTCTATAATCAATTAATTCTTTAGCTTTATCATTACCATTATTTGCTGCGTATTCTAAATATTTGAATGCAATATAAGAATCTACTTCATTTCCGTATTTTCCATGAAGTAAAATATCACCATAATAATAACAAGCATCGATATTTTGATAATTTGCAGATTTTTTAATTAAAGTTGTTATCAATAGATTAAATTCATCACTTTCATTTTCTTTATGTGTCTTTAACAAAAGAAGAGCTTCTTTTAATGCTGAATTAGATACACCTTTCAAAGTGGAAATACGATAATATTTCAAAGCTTTATTTTCGTCAATTTCGAGACCACCATATCCTTTTTCATAATAAATCGCCAACCAATAAGATACTTTATATTTTTGGAAAACTTTTAAAGCTTCAATCCTATTTTCATGAATTTTTGTTCTATGTAAAGTAATAGCGTCATTAATTTCTTTTTGTTTTACAGACATAATAAATACTTTTTAATTTTTTCTTTAAAAAAAAAATAAATATTCTCTTCAATTTTATATTTTTTCTTCAATAATAAAATACAAAAAAAAATATGATAATATTGATAATTCAAAATAAAATTAATAATCAAAATTAAATATTAATTATTATATCATTAATTAAATTCGATTTTAAATAATTTAATAATTGATATTTACGTATTTTACTATAAATCTCATCAAAATTCTCGTAAAAAAAAAATAAATAAAACATAATGAAGGGAATATACACTTTATCGATTGTAACTATAATCTTCTTAATACTATTTCTTAGTGTATTCTTTAGTATCGGGTATCCAGAAATATTAAAAAATAACTTTACAAAAACCATTTGTGATATTACAAGAAAATGGAATATTCCAAGTTATTGTTGCTATAAGGAATGTAATATTTGCGAAAATGCACCTTCTAATGCTAGTAACTGTGGTTCATTACTTAACAATTGGAATTCTATTGACCCTATGACATGTAATAATAATTGTCCTTCAAACGATGATAGCTCATTATGTAAAGATGGATATAGGTGTTGTGCTGAAACTTGTTATCAAACATGTTCAAATTCTGGATCATCCTCTTCATCTTCGTCATGCTCAACAAGATGTGATTGTGTATCTTGGGTTTGGGATGTCAAATGTAAAATCATTTGTCCATTCTGTTACACAATAATCATCGAAGTGAAATACAATACATCTCAAGGTATAAAAATGTCAAACATTACAAATTATTTTGGACAAGATAAAGAAGCTTCCGAAAATTACATGAATAAATATTCACCAATAACACCAACTCAATGTTTTTACGATCCTAAAAATATTTCAAATGCTTTCTTTAATATTGATTATACCGTAAAAACTTGGGTAATCGTGGGAATAACTATCTTTTTCTTATTCGTATGTCTTGTTTCATTCACAATATACCTTTCATCAAAATATATACCACCTACACAACATTGGATAAATATCATTATATGTCCATGGTTCGGTACTGTGATACCGATAATCCTTATTTCTGTTTCACATGCTCCAAACGTAAATACGAATGCTTTATACACAATATCATTGATATTAATCATAATCTGTTGGGCTAATGTTCCAAATATAGAATGGGAAAAAAGAATCAAAAATAATCACAAATCATTCTTTATAGTTATAGGATCATTTGTAATACCTTTGTTAATATTTGGTCTCTTAGCAATATATTTTAAAACAAATTTTAGTTTAATTTTTCTTGGATTAGCTGTCATAATATTTTTTTCTTCTATCGCTATATCTATCTTTTGGAGCAAAATTATATTTTTATTCAACATTCGAAAAAATAATAATAATAATATTAATAATAATGAAGAAATTATTGTTAATAATGTTATCATTATAAATAATAATAATGGAAATAATAATATTAATGAAGAAATTTACATTGAACCACCAAAATATCCAAAAGAACTACCTCCAATATATACTGAAGATTCTCGTCCAATATATATCGAAAATTTAGAATATATTACAGAAGAATCAGAATCTAGTAATATTAATTAAATATTTAAACCTATAATATGAATTATATGAATATATGAAATATCAAATATTATTTATATGAAATTTTATTAAATAAATTATACTATATTTAACGTATCTAAATTATTACAAATATCATTTAAACTTGTAATGTTATACGCCTTTCTAACATAATAAAGTATTTTTTTCATGTTGTTAAAAAATAAATCACTATATGAAACTAATCTGTTATCAAGAATAGCTTCTAAACTTCGATAAACTACATCTAATTCAATACGACTATTATCATTAAGACTAATAGACCAATCCATATTTTGTGTTTTTGATAAAAAGATTTTACCCAACTCATCAATCTGATTCTTTAATTCATTCGAAAAATTAATAACTATCATACTATTTTTAAATCTCATATTATGAATTTCTTTATGTATACCTATCCCATTATTAATTACAAATATACCAAAAATAGGTACTTTATATTCAGATAATTTATCATCAAATTTTTTAACATCTGTTATCATATCGTCTTTCCAGTACTTATGATAACATGTTTTACTTTTAGTAATACAAAATCTACATATTGTACGATATTTACACTGTATTAATAAAGGATAGCCTTGAAAATTGCACCAAATATCTGTCCCATCATCACCAAATATAGTATATTTTCCTAATTTGATAATCTCTAAATCTTTTATAGATCCATCATCCAATAAAATTAAACTACCATATCGTAAAGATTTTACTGTATTAAATAATAAACGTCCATTATTAATCAAATAATTTTTGATAACTTTTGGTTTTAAATTTTTGTTTTTTAAATAAACTGCAACTTCTAAAATCATATTTAATATTAATAAATTATATGAATAAATAAATAAATAAATAAATAAATATCAATAAAAAAAAATACTCACTATTCTCAAAGGTATCACCAATAACCATACACGTATTTTCAGAATCATAATTAAAATACGCAGTTTGTAAATTATCATATTTTGTAACCATTTTTATCAAATAAAATAATAATTTTATTTACTTATATATTCAATTTTAATTAATAATACATATTAATTAATAATATTCTTTTCTATTATATCCTAATATTCCACCATCATGTGACCATAATGATCTACTTTTTTGATTCATTTTTTTCGAAAAATCATTAGGATGTAATCCTGATCTTTCCTTATTTTTTATATGTTTAACAACTCTAACATCATCATTTGAATCTCTTACTACTATATTATAATCTCTTTCTGATATTTTTCCTTTCTTATATTTATCTTTCTTTGAATACCTATCTTCAATATATTCATATATCTCTTTACATCTCGGATAATCTTTTAAATATCTTTTCATATATTCAGGAAATTTTCGTCTCCAATATGTCTTTCCATTCTTTTCAAAATGAATACCCTCAACAAACATTTCTTTATTGTATTCATCATTATTCAATTCTACATCCCATTCCATATTATGAAATTTTTTTTTACTACCTTTATGAAATACAAGCTCAGTAGTTCGTTTATTGACATCATCATTCCACTTTCCTTTAAATTCTATAATATAATCAATACGATTCAAAAATTTATTCAATCCAGATTTATCTATAAATTTTAAAATATTAATAAAATAAAAATTATTTTAAAACTATTAAATCTTAATCTATTTACCTCCTTGATTCAATTCATATGCATCTTCAGGTGACATTCTATTTGTCGTAAACAAATATTTTGTAGTAAATGGTTTAAATATACCTTCATCTACTTCTATTTCATAATCACTATCATTTAATAATTTCATCATATCTCTCCAATCGATCTTTTTATGATATTTATCCAACAAAACTATCTCTTCTCCGTCATAATCATCCCAATAATTACAATCCAAATATTTAGGTAATTTATTATACATTTCATCTCCAAATAAAGTTTCTATCAAACTAGTCTTTCCACTTTCTCTAGGTCCGTAAATATAAAAAAAAAATGGATCCCATGATCTTTCAATTTCTTGATCGTAACTTTTCATTTTAATTTTTGCTTTTCTCCTGAATTCCGTCATTTTTTTTTTATTTAATAAATTTGATTTTTATTAAGTATTTATAAAAAAATATTTATTACAAAATAAATTATAAAATAAAAAAAAAATAACTAACTATTTATGCGTTTAAATTTTACTCTTTAAAAATTCTTTCTTTTCTTTTGAAAAGTCACGTCTCCAATAAACTTTTCCACCAATATCAAAATATTTACCATCAATATCTTTATTAAAAACCTCTGCTTTTTTAATAATATCTCTATTATTAAAACTGTCATCCCTAAACTCGATATCCCATTCCATATTGAAAAATTTTTCTGAATTACCCTTATGAACTTTAATCTTTCCATCATTTTTAAACTCAACAATGTAATCAATCAATTGATACAAATCGTCAAATAATTCATTATACTGATCTTCATATAAATCATTAAATGATTTTACACTTGTCATAAACACATATTTCGCGAAAAATGGAATAAAATTTCCAAATCTTTCTTCAACTTCACAATTACTTTCATCTAAAATATAAGTCAATTCTTCCCAACCAATTTTTGTTTGAAACTCATCCAACAAAACAACCTCTTCTCCTCTATAACCGGTCCACCAACTATTTTTGTTTTTTTCCACTTTTGGTTTTTCATAACATTTACAAAAAATCTTTTTCACGAAACTTGTCTTCCCGACTCCACCAGGTCCATAAAATAAAAAAGATGTTGGAACCCAATTTTTATTACGTTCTTTTTCTATCATATCTCTTCTCTTTCTAATTTCTTTAATTTTTTCTGAAGTAGTGAAATCGTATTTATTAGACATTTTTTTTACATATATGATTTATTTCAAAATCATATATTTATATTTTTTTTATTAATAATCGATAATTTAATAATATCATTTCAAAATAATCTCACTATTTTCTTGATTTATCATTTGTTCAATTTCATCCCAAACATCTTTTTCAAATCCTCTTTTATAATGTTTCTTTCCAGAAATATGTTTAATAACAACCAATGTTCCTTCTAATTCAATTTTCCATTCCCTAACATGATCTTTAATATAATCAATTAATTCCTTATAAATTGTTTGATAATCTTGTTTCGAATATTTGTTATCTGGATCAATATCTATAAAAGGTAAAGGATTATAATAATAATGTTCATAAGATTTATAAATATGTAATTTTAAATCTTCAGCATCAACATAACATCCCAAAGGATCAATACTAAGTTTAAATTCTTTATTTTCCTTGATCCATTTCATAATTTTTAATTCTTTTTTATTTTCATTATTATTCATATAATCAAAAATTATCAATTCATCACCATTATCACCATCATCAAAATCATTTTGAAATTTATCATGTAATTTTCTTTCTTCAACATTAGAAAAATCATCAGAAGACATCTTGTAAATTTAATAATTACTCAAAACATTTATTGATAATATTTATAAATTTATTTAATTAATAATTTTATATTATACTAATCATATTAATAATTGAATATTTTTTTATTAATAAATTTTAAATATTCAAAATCTTCTCTTTGACGATTAATTATTTCTTCTTGTTGTTTACGAATTTTTTCACCAGAATTTTCTTCAATCCATTCAATTCTTTCCTTTTTGGTTTTTAATTCTCTTGATAAAATTTGTTTTACAACCAAAATCTGTGCTTTAAAATATCTATTACCACCCAAATAATGAAATGGTATTAAATTCCATGGATAAGGAAAATCATTATCATAAAATGGCAATTCACTTTTATTAATTCCTATTTCTTTTAACCATAATTTCTCGGTAAATCTTTTACACATTTCATCTCTTGTACATGTAGAATTTGTATAACAATAACTGCATAATCTAATATTTACTTCCCAATATATCATTGTATTTCTCTCATAACATCTATTATAACATCTATAGCCTAATAAAAGTTTTAAATAATCTCTTTCCTTCATATTTAAAGGTGGATTTAATTTTCTACACACCATATGGTTTTTTCTAGAAAATTTCCATATTTCTTGTTCATTTAACAACAATTTATAAAAAAATTGACATGTGTATGATATAAAAAATAAATTTATCGGTGATAAATATTTTAAAACATCAACCAAAACTTCCAAAGGAAATTCTCGTAAATCCATTAAAATTTAAAATAACATATTTTTACTTTATTTATAAAATATTCAATTAATAAAAATAATTAATAATATATAAATTAACAAAATTTAACTAAAAATATATATTCATTCATTACTAAATTCTTTTCTAATTAATTCCTTTAAACTATTCTCATCACCCCTTTCAAACTCATAATCCCTTTTATTTTCTCCAGATATAATTTTTCCATTCTCATCATATCTTCTATTAAATTTAATGATATAATCAACATTTTCATTAATTACATTCTTTTTAAAATAATCCATAGAAAATACTGTTTCAAGATATACAAATTTGATATATCTACTATCAAACTTATTAAAATACGATTTTGGTATTTTTGTAAATTTAGGATGAATCATATGATTAATAACTTTTTTACCGTATTCTTTAAGATATTTAGGTCTTAAAAATATTTTTTCTGTATTGTGTGAAATATATTTAGAATCAAATAATTCATAACATTTTCGAGTTTTTCCCGATGGAGCATCTCCGTAAGCAAAAATAAAAATTGGTTTAGACATTTTTTTTATTTTTTTTTTAAAAAAAAAAGTTTATACACTTTATATAATCATTAATTATTATTAATATATTTAATTATCGCTTATATCATTATTATTAATATCATCTACCTCCATTTCATTAATATTCATTTCTAAATTAATCTTTTTTCTACTACTTTCTATTACTTTATCTTCATATCTTTTTCTTTTTGATATTTCTTTATATTTATACATTTTTTCACATTTCGGATAATCCTGAAGATATCTTTTTTTAAATTCTTCAAATTTTCGTATCCAATATACTATCCCATCTTCTTCATAATGCTCACCCTCTATTCCTTCAGTAAACATCTCACCCATCTCCACTATCTCATCAATATCATATTCATCATTATTATACTTTACTGGCCATTCCATCGATCGAAATTCTTTTTCAGATCTCCAATTTGCACCTTCTACATCTGTAGTTTTAAAAGAAATATCCGTAGTTCTTTTTTCAATATTATCATCCCAACATCCTACTACAAAAAAAAAAAAACCAATTATTTTTAATAAATTTCATATCATAATTATAAAATTTTAAAAAAAATATTAAACTCACCATATTCAAATTTTCGATTATATCATTAATTTGTTAAGTTGAAAAAAAAATTAATAATTTTATCTTGTTATCAATAGATAGTAATAATATATTTTATCTCACCTGTAAATTCTATAACATAATCTAATCTTCTCGCAAATTGTCTAAAATCACGTTTATTCCAATCATCATCACTATTATCTTTTGGTTTGAAATTATATGCTTCTATAGGTGGTCTCGTACTCGTTAAAATAATATACTTGGCTATAATAGGTACAAAACCATGTTTTACCTGAACAGTAATAGGTTCATCATTCAATAAATTTACCATATTACCCCAATCAATTTTAGTATAAAATTCATCCAAAAGAATAAATTCTTGTCCTTTATATCCATTCCACCAATTAGTACCTCTTCCCTTTTCTGGTTTATCATATAATTCCTTTCCAAATAATTTTTTAACAAAACTTGTCTTTCCACATCCACCTGGTCCATAAATATAAATCGTTACAGGACGCCAAAACCTACCACCTCTTTTTTCTATTTTTTCATTTTCCAAATCTTTATATATCTTACCCATATTCGGATAACTATTCGAATATAAAACTTTATCCTTATTATATTTAAAAACTTCTAATGGTGTAGCTCCATTACACAACATCTCGTTTCCTTCTATAATAGCATCAAACTCTTCATTCTTTTTTCTTTGTAATTCCGCTTTATGATCAATTTCATTATCGCAACTTTCCTCTTCACTACATTCTTCATTATCATATGTTGTATACTTATTCTTGCTGTTTCAATATTTTTTTTGAACATATTTAAAGCATTATCCTCTCTGATCTTGTTCTATTTCCTTTCTCTTTCCAAAGCTCTTTATACTTTTTGTTTTACTGTTATTTGCAAGAGATATTTGATCTTCTTAGTGATTTTTGTCTTCGTAGAAATCATTTCTGCTTGCTGCTCATATGAGTCTGTTATTATAATAAAAACTACAAATTTTGAACAGTTTATCATATCTTCTTTATTTTTAAAGTATATAGTTGTACTTCTTCTGTTGTTGTCATTAGTATTTTTGAATATATGCAGAGTTTTAGCACCAGTTCGTTTGACTTGTTTCATTAAGAGTATCTCGTTTGTGTCTTCTGGTAGGTCAAGTAATCTTCTGGTATACTTGTTACGTTCTTTGAGTTTATTGCTGTTGCTTGTTCCAGTAGAAACTTTTACTAAGCAGTTCTCTCTGAATGGTATACATCATAAGTTTTCTAGCTCTTCTGCAGCTGTAGTGCCTGATATGAAATCGATTACTGCTCTTGTTTTTCTATATATTTCTTTAATCATTTCGATATGATTAACTCTTCTGAAATATTGTATATTTTTAAAAATTTGTGATCTTTTTGCATAACTTGGAAGATCCCAAAGTATTATCACATTTCTAATATTATTTATTGTCTTTGTTTCTGTTTGTTGGTGCTTTGTCGTTTTTTGAAGCTTTCGACGTTTCTTAGAGCTTTTGACGTTTGTTAGTGCTTCGTCGTTACTTGGAGATTTCGACGTTTGTTGATGCTTTTGCGTTTCTTAGAGCTTTTGATGTTTGTTGATGCTTTGTCGTTTCTTGGAGCTTTTGACGTTTCTTTAGCTTTCGACATTTTTTAGAGCTTTCAACGTTTGTTGGTACTTCGTCGTTTCTTGAAGCTTTTAACATTTGTTGGTGCTTCAGCGTTTCTTAGAGCTTCGACGTTTATTGTTTCTTAGAGATTTCGTTGTTTGTTGGTACTTCAGCTTTCTTAGAGATTTCGTCGTTTCTTAGTTTTTTTTTTTTTGTAGTTTAGTATTAGTTTATCATGTAGAAAACGTTCGTTATGTAATGACGTTGTTTTTTTTTTAATAAATAAAGTTTTACAGTATTATATAAAGTATTATTTTTTAAAGTTTTTTTTTTTAAAAAAAAAATCGTCATTGTTATGCAACGATGCCGATTTTTTAAAAAATAAAAATTTCGCCAAATCAATTTTTTTCACATTATTTCAGATATTTGCGAAAGATTTCGAATTTTTTTGGGTAATATTTTGAAAGATTTTTCACAGATCTTCAGAATATTTTTCAGAAATTTTCGAAATTAATTATTTCGAAAATTTTCGCATCGATTGTAAATCTTTTGAAAGATTCCAACTCGAAAATTCTTTCGAAAGATTTCAGTTATATAAATTTGCTGATGAATAATACTCAAATCAAATTCAATACATCAATTCCTTATGCTCCAAATTCTACAAGAGCTGAATTATCAGCAATCATATATCTCTTCTTAGTATTACTATCAAATCACTAAATTCATATACATCTAGATAACCTCTCAGCAATTCAAATACTAAAAAACAGCCTACTATACAACTATCCTATTTAAACCAAAACCAACAATTGGGATATTATCTATATTCTAAACTATTTATTACAAAAGAAAAATATTCAACTTATTACTCACAAAACAAAGTTATATTCAAAAAACTCTTTTCATAATATCACTAACTCTCTAGCTAAACAAGGTACTAAAAAAATTGAAATCCAATTTAATACTCAATACCTTTATTTACTTATATCCTTCATATAAAACCAAATTCTTATACTACGTAAATTCTGCACAAATATTCTCTTAATTCAGTTCTTCAACAAACTTATATAACTTAAAACTTTTCAAAATCTATAACCTTTCAATATTCTCCAACTCACTAACATAATAAATTCACAAAATAATAATTCAAAACTATACTCTCTTAGAAACAAAATCATCCTAAATAACTTACTAACAATAGCAAATTTAAATACCTGCTACTCAAATCTATATCTTACACCAAACTGTGCTTTTTGCAACCAATATAAAGATACTAAACATATACTCTCCTGCACACTATACTCTATTAATTTACATAAAATATTACTTAACCAAATAACAATTACTCTAAATACATCTAATTTAAATAATATTTCTCCTTTATTTATTTTTTGTTTAATTACTCATTACAATAACTCTCCCAACTTAACAAATACTATTCTACTCCTTTTACAAGGCATATTTCTAACAACTTGCTACAATTAAACTAACTTACTTCTCAAAAAATCAACTAATAACTTCTTCATCCAACTCTCTAACTCTCTACTTCTTTGGTTCAATGACAAAATTTAGAACAACAGAAATCAAATCCATCATAAATGAGAAACTGCTTGTGGTATCCTTCAAAAAACTAAAAAAAATAATAACACAAATCAAATATATCCTTCTCAATTAACACCTACTAAAACAACTAAAATCTACAACTCTAATATAGATATTTATATACAAAAATGTTTATTTCAAAACTTCTCTATATTTAATAGTTTTTTCTAATTATCTTTCTTAAATTACTTAGAGGTCTCCTTCAACCTCCTCTATAGTTAATAGTAACTATTGTTTAAATTAACTAGCAAATAGAAAATTAGAGTGTAATATTACATTAGATGTCTAACTATTATAAATAGTCTTAGCAACAACAATGAAATTTAGGAACACATATTAGCTTCATATATATATAGACTGTATTCTGAGAAAAGGGACCAATTTGACAAAAAAATTTTTTTGAAAATAACAAATATTCTAGATCAGATGATTAAATCTACACCTATTTTACTTAAGAACTTTTTTTCAAAAAAAAAATCAATTTGGTCCTTTTTCTCAGAACATAGCTTATATCATTCTGATATATAAATATACTAATCTCTTTTCTAATTGATATTATCAATAAATAAAAAAAAATTTTTAATAGTCAAATACTAAATCATCAATTATTAAAATTGTTAATAGTCAATTGTTAAGATTAATCATTAAGATTCTTAATAGTCAACTACTAAATTATTAATTGTTAAGATTTTTAATATTCAATCATTAAGATTCTTAATAGTTAATTATTAAGATTCTTAATAGTCGAAGCAATATCTTTTTTAAAAAATATTTATTTAAATAGATAGCTCAAAGTGCAAAAAAATGAAGAACTTGAGTTATTATACTTGAAATTAGCAGAAAAGAATAAGCTTAATTAGTTATTAAAAAATTTAATAAAAATTTAGTTTATTAATCTTTAATATTAAAAACTTGATTTAATAATATTAAAAATTTTCTTATTGATATTTGTAGTTGCAGTTACTATAGTTACTTTAACAAATCTGAATTTGATATAATTAAAATTAGCATAATACTTTAAAATTTATATTTTAGCAAAATAAATCTAATTTCAAATATAGTAATATTGATTACTATACTTTTCAAAATACTGTAATCAATAATTTTCATACATTATACCAGAAATTAGAAATTTAGAAAAAATGCAAATTTGTGATTAGCTAAAAATTCTTTCTAACTAATCACAGATTTGTATTTTTTTAGATTTTTAATTTCTGGTATAATGTAAAAAATTTTTTTTTTTTAACTTAGGTAACCTTATCCTTAGTTTATTAGCAGAAGATTTATAAAGAAATCATAATACAAAAATAAAAAAAAAACTAATATTCTAAACTACTAATTTATCCTACTCTTGCAACTTCAGATTCACTTGACTTGCCTTGCACTACCTAGGTGCGATCTATTACAAAAAGTATTTATCTTCCTAAAAGGTATCCTACCTAAGTAGAGTAGTTCCTTCAGATCAACAATAGATTCTTTTACACTTTATCAAGATCCTAGGTTGCTTCTAATCTAATTAAAACTAAATTACAAACTATTAATATCTAGTCCAAGTTAAAAATAAAAATTGTTG